ATAAATTGTTATGCCGGTAGAGAGAGGAAGGAGCAGAGACCACCAACTTCGGATTGGGAAAAAACGAGAAGCCAGTTTCTAACCAAGCCACAGCCACGCATATACAATTAGGGTTTTTGGACGATCAAAAGGGGATTATGACCGGTGTTTCGGTTGCACTGCTGGGGAACAGTTAGGCACCTGTCAATAATAAAAATGACAAATACACTCAAGAGGTGGTTTCCTGGCAAACTTCGGTGGCGACAAAGTAGGTGAGGGGGTGAGCGTAGGGCGAGGAGGGAGTTCAAGACTAACCGAAATAAGGAGCGGCGGTGAGAAGCGGCGGAACTTGGGCGCAGGACCGGCGTTCTCTCCGACAGCGCGATAAGAATCACTGACGTCGTGTTCTTCCTCATTCTCTTTTTGACCAGACTCCGTCACGTGGATTAGCAGAATCCGCAGCATGCCATCGTCCTCATCTGCGGAATCGACGTCCTGACGGGCAAATAAAGTATGCACACGCAATAATAATATTGATGGAGCGTATTGGAAATCCCAATTCATGACCTTACGACACCCTAAACTATTACTTATGATATGGGTGAAATTCGAGGAAACTATTATAAAAAGAAATATAGTCATTAGCAGTAACACGATTGGGCGTGCCGGCGGTGGCTGTGGTTTTAATGGAGCCAAACTTACTATAATGAAGGGTCCGCAGGATTTCCCAGTTGAAGGCATTCCATTATCAACCCTACTCTGTCCTATTAGAACCCTTAGGTGACGTGGTTGGCCGCAGTGGTGGAGGCAGCGTGAATCTCTCAATTCAGTGAGCGCGTAACCGGCGTGTGTGGCATGCGGAGACGGGCTGTGTAACTTTGCAAGTCACCGCACTCCATCCCGCCGCCGGTTTTCTCGATTTTTTTCCGAAACCAGACCAAAACGAATTATGGTGGAGAGGGCGTGGTAGACGCAGCGCAAGTCTACTATCACTATAAAATAATTGGCGTGCAAGTTGGCGTCCCTACGCGCACCATGTTGTGGGGTACACGGTGGACATCGTGGACGGTCGAACTGTTAATATGAGTCACACGTTTGTAAAATAATGAACAAAAAGTGTGCAGTATAGATGTACGACAACCTGGTTTATAGGGAGGGGCACACTTTGTGCAAGCATTTATCACAGGGCTATTTGGCAGAAAGTACGGTTGGCCGCTACTCCCTTGCCAGTACACGTAGCTCACCTCCAAAGCCCCACTTAACTACTGCAGAACTCTACCCGTGAAGAGGGAGAGGCACGAGGTCTCCAGCAAACACGTCTTTGTCGTCATAGTCTCCAATATCATCAAACACGTCATTGTCGTAATAAACACAATAACCACGGCAACCTTTAGCATCGTGAGAGTGTCAAAAGCTACACTACTCTCAGGACTAGGAGTCGGCCACTTGAAACTCCAATCACGAAGCAGAGAGTATTGTCCTGGAAGGCAAAAACAACCTACCACATGTTGCCCACACGAAAATGCAAATGAGAATGCACTATTTTTGGCCAACTACACATCCGAGCGATCGCAGAGTTGTCACACCGTGACTCTTCTAGGTTCGTTCGCTGTTGAGAGAGCACGTTGCAAATTGTGCCGTCAATCAAGACAAGAAAGCAGTTATGATGAGTGTTGTGACAAAATATGGCCACCGGAGACATGCCGCACGACTAAAATCTATTTTCTGAGTTGATAACTGCGAATAAGGTATACTAGTTAATAATACTTATAAATAATAAAAATAACTGGTTGATGACGACTAAAAAGCTAGAAATTGTCATTCCCGGATACCCTGTCTTTGTGGATTTCATCATCATCCTCGCGTATCACAAGTCACTATGCGACTGCCCGCGAGGGTTACAAAGTAAGTTCCAAGATACAACGGGGCATACATGTTACTTAACCAGATTGGTGAGTCCAACACTGTCAAAAATAATATTGATAAATAAGAGCCATATACTCAAAAAAAGGTGCAGCAAACATAGTCAGGCGCCAAAGGCCACCAGAAGATTAGAGCATACGGGGCCAAACATCGCTCCCTTGAGAATGGTAAAGCAATGTTGTAGAAATAAGGTAACTCCATTGTGTTATACAGTCTTTTCGAGAAAAAGGGCCGAGTACGAGCATGAGTTCTTGTTTCGACATGCACTCATTATTCTGTAGTTCTGGCGTTATTGGAGTGTGCTTTCAGTAGGGCGCGACTGCAACAACGTCAGGATGCCAACTATTTTAATTTTCACCACAGCAGGATAACTAATAGTTTTCATCGTCTCGTACCGAGTTGTCGAGCCAAGACTGAAAAGGGGTGTGATTGAGGAACACACATGCATGTCGCAGTGTATGCCGACGTTACGCAGAAAAAAACCACCCGCAG